GAGAAATTGGATTTATTTATACCCTTTATTAACATAACGTCAGACCATTCCGTCACTTATTACTAGAGAATATAGTAGTAAATGATATGAAAAAGTTAAACAATACTTCCATACGCTATAAATTGGGCAAAAGGTTTGCATTTGCATTAGAATAGGAAATACATTACATTTGGATAAAACAACAAAAAACTTAATGCGAAAGCATTGGAAAGAATTGATAAAAGAAAATGCAATTTAAGTTTTTGTTTAACTTTCCTCTCTCTCTCTCTCTCTCTTTCTCTCTGGAGGTGATGCTCGCGAGTGAAAGGCAAATGTTTTGTAGTGTTTAGATCAACACCAGTGTTAAGGTGTAGAGAAAAGTCTTAAAAATTTAATGCAAATCTCATGTTAAACACACAATCGGTGCGAAAATATTAATAAATCTTTTACAACACAAGTAGTGTTAACAGTAATATTGGATGAGTAATGCACTTATACTCTGCATATAAACTGATTATAAAAATATATAATTCTTGAATGCATTAATTCTCGGGGAATCAATATTTATAAGAATATTGTACAGGCAATGAATTATATTTTATATCAATAATTGAATTAAAGCGAATTGACTGACATTTAGCTTAACAATAAATATTAGCGAAACATCTCAAACAATGAATGAATTCATTGAATTGTATTCAAAGAAAGTGCATTCATTCAGAGNAACATCTCAAACAATGAATGAATTCATTGAATTGTATTCAAAGAAAGTGCATTCATTCAGAGCATGTGAATGAATAACACAATCGTTTCTATGATTTCATAACATTTGACTTAATTCTTGGAAAACTATATTCTATTCACATATTAAAATCTAATTTATTGAAAACAAAGTTTCATTTGTTTACACATCAGACGAGAGAAAAACTTATACTATCTATAATTTTAATGATAAGCATTAAACAGTACTGATTCAGTAGTGTATTACAGAATAATATTCTTGAAGTCTATAGTTATGTCTATTTTTAGTATATGTTGTGCTCTATCAGTGAAAGTAATTAAATTAAGTCAAAAGCCATACGAAAAAGTCTGTACTAATAGCAAGCGAGTAGTCGCCATCGAAAACAATTACTTTGGCAGTAATTATTATATTTGATGTCAAAAAATAATATGAAAAGCACACTGATGAAAGTGTATTTGTGAACCAAAAAAGTTTGTTTTGTATTGGCATTCAATATAATGCGAGGAGTGGCTCGTAATTATAACCCATTTATGGATAGCATAGACAGTGTGTAATCATAATTAATATTCACTAGCTTCATTTAAAGGCCTGTCATTAAAATTTGTTTTTATTTACATTAGTCCCATAATAGCCGTTAGTCTACTCCCCGTTAATATAAAGTGGTTAGTGTTGGGGAAACTCATTCATTATACAAAGTCTGGTGTTTGTCTCAATCGATAGGCGATTCTGTGGCACAGAATTTGTGGCATAAATAGAGTCACAATCTGTCGGCGATTATGGGTAACACTACAGAATTTATGAGCACATTATTTAAACTGATCTAGGTAAAATAAATGCTATACATTTTAAAATAATTATACATAATTTAATATAGTAGGGTTAATTTTGGTTGCATTCGTGATATAATTTTAATCATTGATAATTGTTATTCAATTTTAATTAGTTTTTACTAACAAAATAATCAATGATTAAGTTGCTAATTATAAGTTAGTATAGATAATATAATCAGTTAATTAAATATTAAGCTAAATAATATACTGCCAAACAATTTGCTTGCAGTGAAGACAGTTGCGGACAAGTATTCACCACAAAAGCACGACTCGATCGACACGAAAGCACTCATCAGACAAACAAATAATCCATTTCTTAAATACCCATTAATATTACCCGTATTATAATCTCCATATCATTTGTATTATTAAAATATTATTTTATTGAAATATAAATAACATACACTATTATCTCTATTATCATAATTATTATCAAAATCAATGTTAAGTTCAAATAAATAAATTGTTTCATCAAATGAAAAGCGACTCAAAACTGCAATTTATTAGACTTATGGACAACAGGTCTGCGAATGTCCAGCACTTTACTACTCTTCCCGATCCCAAGTCTGGGTAAACCATTGTTGAGTCCCTGAAGCATAACACACGCCTTACACACGGACTGACTCGATATGAAGCCACAGCGAGTACAGGTGCCCCTCGGGGGCAGTCGCACGCTCTCCTTGAGCGCCATTACTTCTCCCGAATGAATGATATCTAATATAACTGACGGCCGAACGGACTCCAAGTCCTTGAGGAAAGTGCGGGCAAAGCCGCGGTACGAGTTGGGGGCGTATATGCACTCCGTCGAGAAGTAGTCCAACTTCTGGAAGTAGGCGTAGAGTACTATCTCCTTCTCGTAGCAGTACTTGAATGGCTTGACGCGAGCGATGGTACTCTCGTCGGACGGCTCGCTATCATCGCCACAATTGGTCACTATATTGGTGGCCCTCTTGAGGCGCGCGATATCTCCGCGCAATATATTCATGAGTATCGTCTCCGCGATGTCGTCGGCGTTGTGTCCGGTGGCGATCACATCGCACTGGATGGCGGCGGCGCCCCTGTCCAGCGCCTGGCGCCTGAATACGCCGCAAAACGTGCAGTTATTGCGGAGACCCGTCTCCCGCACCACCGCATCCATAGTCCAGCCGTAGAGCTCGTCGTACGACAGGATCTTCAGCGGCAGTCCGTATTGGCTTTGATTACGTTTGACGGTCTCCAGCGAGTCATCCCTATAGCCAGCGATGCCCTCATCGATGGACAGCAGCTGTAGATCCAGTCCGTAGTCGTACCGTTCGTTCAGCAGTTTCATGACATACGCCAATACAGTCGAGTCTAGAGGGGTGTGGAAGAGATTGTGGGATCAGCTGCGAGTCAATGTGTGAGTCAAACGGTGTCTACCTTTGCCTCCGGAGGCGCCGATCGCCACTCTGTCGCCGCGTTTGAAGAGCTGTCCCGAAGTGATAGTCTCGTGGACTTCGGTCTCGAAGCAGTGGAAGAAACACGACTTACAAAGAGCTGATCCCTAAGAGGAAGACAAAATGCCATTAATTATCACTCAATTGGTTCACAAAAACAGACATTTTTGGGTCTTTTGAGAACTGGTCTCTGAGTCTGACATCGGCTGCAAGTGATGGACATCTCGAGGATACGAGTGGATCCGCTTTGAAGATAGTTTTGTGATAATTGGGACACAAATATGAAATGAATTGTAATTTCAATCAAATTATGAAAACTTTTTCAAAACATGTTTACGTTTACGAAATGAAACACATGTTTGCGAGTCATTCATATAATACGTGACATCAATAACGTGTTGAATAAAGTTTTGGCAATAAATGGTAAGAATTTATTGGATTATTAAATATTTATGATTCAAATTAAAAAAAATATTGATTATACTTGGATTATAAAAGGTTAACATGGATTATATTTAGCTACCATGGTATCTTAGATTTGGTGTATTTTAATTAACTATTTAAATTTATTAAATTAAATTAAATTATTAGACAAATGTTAAACAATTAAAATAGTTGCCCCTTTAATGTATGTAAATATAATTGAGTACAATAATATATAGAATTATAATTCATATGAAATTATACTCATATTTTGAAAGTTTATTAATTAATTGATGTTATAATAGCTTAAGCATAACGATTTGAATGATAAAAAATATATATTTGATTTTCTAGATGTCACGACTTATATCAAGGCAATCATTCGTATGCTTATTCTGTGAGAACCAGAATATTCTGTAATATAAGTATCCTATAAATGATATACTAATAGTGTATAGGTATTTGTATAAAGACAATAGAAAACCTTAGGAAATTGTGAAAATGTTATTTTAAATTTATTGTAATAAAAATTTATAATAATTTATTAAATAAAATAGGTAATAGGTAAAAATCATGGTAAAAAAGATTTGACAACAGGTGTTAATAAGCATAAAAATATATTACTATTATTAATATAATAGTAAGTTATTAGTAAATCATTAGTAGATTATTAAAATTAATAAATATTCTTATAAATTGATTATTATTGATTTAGGTTAAACTACCATGTTTCTATTTATGTTGCTTTGAAACCTATATTCTTTGAATAGTACTTAAATGTCAATCAAATGAATCTGAAATAACTAGAAGTGGAAAATTTTTGTCGACATAATATTATTTGTAAAGTGAGACGTGAATTAAGCGCAAATAATTACAGAATATATTATTATTAATACATAACACATGTGAGAAATTCAACAAATGCTTGAATACAGATAAAATTGCTAAATTGTTAACAAGTACTAAAACGTAAGTCAAGACTTTGATACAAATCCTGACATAAACTAATGTAGTATTTTAGGACTATATAAAAACATAAAACATAAAGTGATATACAGTATGAATAACACCTTTTTACAATTTATTCATATATTATGGCACTTTGTCCAGTCGTAAGTTTAGTCAACATGTCACACACATACACACAAAACTTTATTTATTATATTATTATAATTTATTATTTATTTATAAATCAAATAAAGTTAAAATGTCAACGAGAGTGACAAAATCAATAACGAATTCATGTATTCATTTGTTTGTCAAAAAGGTTTGTATATAAGAAAAATCAATTTCTTTCGTGTCATTAAAAATTTATACCAACTTTTAGCGACTCTTAAGGGCAACGAAATTTAGTGTCTGTTTATTAATATGCAAATGTTTTGTAATTTTTTTCATCAAATGACATATTTGTGTATTTTAATGAAAAAACACACTTTCTTTTGATATAAAAAATGTATTTTATTAATCTATTTTCAAGTTTTATTGCACTTTTCAAAGGTTTTCTAGAAAATACTTAATGTATTAATGTGTCGGTCTGTATTTGAAGTTATAATATTAATTTTAAATGTATTACTATTTTTAAAGGTTTTGATAAATATTTATTAATAGTATTTCAAACATTGAACTTATTTTAATTGAATTTTTAATTTTATTTATATTTTATTTTTATATATTATAGTAGTCTTTAAAATACAGAATAGTGAATATTCTTAACAAATTATTATTAATATAAACATCGAGAATACTGTAGTGTAAATGAAAACTAATCCTCAAACTTTACTTGCTAAATAATAGATAACTAAGAAATCATGAATTTAATTGACAATCATTACTACACTTTAACTCTTATTTATTTCTATACAAGGATAAAAAAATCTACTATAAGATATAAAGGTCTACAGATTTACCGTATATAGGTGACTGTAATTCAGAAAGTTTGTCATTATTAGACAACTGGCAGTACAGTAGTGGAAAACGATTGAGGATTTTATTGGTTTAATTAATAATAAGTGAATACTTTTCTATCCGACAGCACTTTCCTTAGGAACTCATTTATAACTGTATTAATGGTAAACTGTATTACAAGTGCATTAAACACATAAAACTGAGGTTATATTTGTTAAATATTTCATATTACAAATGTCTTATACCACCTTTATAAGTTTAAAAGGCATTGATACTGGTGAGTTGGGTTCTAGAATTTGAATGACTTCATCAATTATGCTTGATTACGTGATGATTTTAAATAATCTTAACAATATTATGTCATAAATAATACACTATTTATAATTGTGTCTATGAATTTTAAAAAATTATTAACTTAAATTTTGAATTTTGAATAAAAAATAATTCATTCAGTTTATTGTTAAAATATTTTAGAAATATGCTAATTATAGAAATATTTTAATGCAAAACAATATGAAAAATCAGATTCACATAAAAAATTTAATTGCGATATAAAATTATAAATTATAATAATCGCCTATTATATTATATTTATTTTATTCATCTGTCATAATCACTATATGCTTATCATAATGTGAAATATGATTGTGACCTTCGTGTCAATTGTATCAGGATCATAATTATGTTATAATTTATAATTGCGAAACAGTATAAACGGTTTTGACAGATTTTCGTTAGTGCGTGACTTTTATATAAAATTAGTTTATATTACAAATATTTATCTTAACTATTATTTTTAATACTATAATCCGTAAGCAAATATATCAATTAAATAAAAACAACAAAAATTAAAACTAATTCACACTTTAATATCAATATAATTTTTTGAAACTTTTCAATAGAAATAAACATAAATTAAATATTTACATTAAATTATATGAAATTTATTTTTGAAAAGATTGCATTAATTTATTAGTTTTAAATAAATTATTGATTACTCTTAATTTTAATTTCTTAATATAAAAAACTAATTTATTTGAAAACTAAAATATATTGATAGTTAAGTAAACATTGAGATCTAATTTCAAAATAATTTTAATAAGATTTCTATCCAATGAATGGAAAGGGATTTCGGTTTAATGGAGAAAAACCCTCTGAAAAGAGATTCACATCTTTATTGATCATAAAAATCATAATTCTTTTCGTAGTTTTTTCTTTTGATTTGCATTTTTATTAATTCAAACTATATTTTGAGTTCAGCTCTCGCTTTAATCGGATTTGCTGTCATTTATCTTAACCTCAAACCCACATATAGTTAGGGAAACACTCAATAAAGATATGGTTATGTTTATAATATTGAAATGTTTTGTGAGTTTTTTACTCTTTTTTTGGGTCAGAATTTGATTCGAAAACTACTTATCGTATTATTTATATAAAGAAAACTTAATATTGTATACGAGGAGAGAGAGAGAGAGAGAGAGAGAGAGAGAGAGAGATGCTGCGGTAAATATCAGATTACACTCAATGTGTAAATTGTCATAATATTTGCATTAATATACAGTTATGTGGCACTGTATTAATATTATTGTTCTGGAGATTGAATGTATGGAAGGCATCAATATTTATAAAGTTTATTTTATAATTATAACTGGACTAGTTAAATAACTTATTATTATTTATATAATATATTAATATAATATCTATTTAAAACAGATTTAAGAATTTTGTATAAAAATAAATTAAATGTTACCGGTACAGTATAAAGAAATTGGTTATAAATACTAATAATCTTCTTTAAAAGAAAAATATGAAATAGTTTGTCACCAAGGTATTTAACAAGATATTATAATAGTATTAAATACAAGTTCAAAACTACAGTAGTTCCTATCGATATTTTAATTGCAAAAAAAACTTTGTATCTTAAATTTAGTTTTTTTTATTTACTGTTTATGCATTTAACTTTGATAAATTTTTTAATGATCAAGATAAGTAGAGTTTTACATAAGATTGTAATAAATTTTAAATGTCAAAATATTTATAAATGCAAGAATTGAGCATTAGAAAATAATTTATCTTAATATAGGATTATAAAACAAATTAAAATTTATTACTTGCTAAATTTTAGAGTTATTTTAACTAAATATTAAAACAAAATAAATTTTAAAAATTAATCAACCTAATATTTAAAATAAACTCAATTATATTTAGTGCCAACACTAGACCTGTCATGAAAATGAAGTCAATTGTATTAGACGTCTATAAGACAAGACATGGAGTGAAGGTATCGCTTATATTCATTCAAAATGTTATAATATGAACGCTGTTTGAGACAAACGTTTAAGTGTTTTGATTGAATAAACAAAAGAAATACTGTTTTCTCGATATTATATGTTATGTAATGAGTGACTAAAGAAATAAACTGAAATAAGTGACGCATTCAATGATTTTGTGCTTTAAAACCAAGTGATAAGACAAACGTTGAGCTTTCAAAACGTAAAGTTATAAATATCTGTTACAAAAACACTTCATATGTGTTTAATTTGACAAATTTATATATTTTTAATTTTCATTCATTAAATGTTATGTTATAGGAATAATATTATATTCTACATTAAGTTTACATTCTATCGTGTTAGTTTTTACCATTATTCATAGAATTAACATTGTCTATATAAAGTAGTTAAATTAGTTAATATGTTATACATTAAGGAAAATAATATCTTTATAGGATTTGTATTATTCATAGAATCAAAATTATTCCACTACTTTAATATTGTCTAAATGTTTACTAACTTATTATAAATAATAAATTATGTTGTAACTCATAAATAATATTAATTTATATAAAGTATTAAATCAATATTTTTGCAAATATATAAATAGTTTTGCAAATTAACATCAGTTTAATATAAATCTTATACGTTTGTAATGTTATACGATATGATTGATATGATTATTGGATGCGATTTATGCGATATTATTATTATTAAGTCTTTATAATATAAATATGAAGGCAAGTAATTTCATATGAAAATCTGGTTATTATAAAAATAAATTTTATACGA